CACAAGAAATAATATTAGGCACAAATAAAGTTTTAGGCACATTATAATTTAAAGCTAATTATGATTAACTTAATAGGACAAATGTCCAATTAAATAAAGAATCAAATACCTGCTGATATTAATCTAATATGGGATAATACCCAAAAACTTAAAAACATTAGTCATTTTGGTCAATAAAGTCAAATATAGCAAAATCTTATTACAGTAGTTATTTAACGCTGTTTTAGTTCACTGTGAGCTCTTTTGGATGGATCAAAGACGCTCGCAGACGCCTCGCCGAGCCCAGAAAAATATCTAGCATGCTAGATACCCAAAGCTGTCGCACAACTCAACCTCACATGATGTCATGAGCTACAGCCAATCAGAGCAAGGCATGGGTTGAGGTCACCGGGTAAATCTTATTTTTTTTCTTTTTTTGCATTTTTCTCCCAGAGCAAATCATCGCGCAAACAGTTTGCAGCACTAGTTTCTGTCTGACGTCGATATTCGCGTGTTGTGTTCTTCGTCTTCTTCGCTGGGTATTGACGCATGTGCTGTTTTGCGTCATTTCCAGTTCGTTTCATCGCGTGATTTTTCGTGACAAAACGTGGTTTGTAGACAAGATAGAATCGTTGGGTGACATAGCTGTTGTCAACTCGTGTAGTGCGTTACCTCCTGTTGTGGATCAATCACGTTGTGTCGTGTGGTGTAAACAGCTCAACAACTTGAACACTCCTGATTTCACTGAGAGCAAGTCATGTAGTGTGAACCGCACAGTTCAGCCCGACGTTTTAAAATCATGTAGTGTGAACAAGGCTTAAAGGAGTTCTGGTGAAACTGACTGTGTTTACAGTTCGAAATTAATAAATGAATGCGAACATCTAGTTCGCCTTTATACATAGCCTACTCATACAACAATGGGCGACTTCGTTATTTCTTTGAACCTTTTTGGAGAATTTGACAACTTTGATGACTGTGATGCTGCTGAAGAAAGAAAAATTGTAAACAAAACGGAGAAATGAGCGGACTATAAATATCTCCGGTCGCGTCAGACAGAACCAGGGAAACCAAGCCATTGTTTGTAAAAACTTTTGATTTCGTTTGTAAAAAGAATCAAAATATAAACTAATCTAATGTTTTTCAAATTTGGCAAGTGACCACATGATATAACCGGGTTAATGCCCTTCGAGGTGTCCATTGTATAGGTATTAATGGACTTTGGTTGAGGCTTACCGACGCTGACCTCGCCATTAATACCTGACAATGGACACCTTAAAAGGCATTAACCCTTACATGAACAACTCTGTCCAAATCAGACATTCAGCTGACTAAAATTAACATCAGCTATAATAAATCATCAACTTTGTCACTGAAGCATTTTCTACCAAACTGTCCATACAGCAATTGAAGAATCTTTGGTGCGAGTATCTGAAAATACGGTGCCGTCACAGTTTCACAGGACAGTGCTTGATAAATCAACCCAGTGATAGAATAAGACCGGACAGAAAGCAGGTCACCATCTGCTTGTCTTACCCAGAGTGCTATGCACTCGAGGACTAGCAACAGAGTGGTTTGCTTCTCTGCAGTGACATTAAATCATCAGGTTTGACTTTGATTAGTAAAACAAAGTGATCATTTTGAGTTGATGTGCATTTCCAAGCCTCGTCGAAAGATGAACAATACAGCCTAATGAATAATGACTCCTTTTACAGGTCACTTCATATCATTGCCACCCAGAAATGTCATCTATTGTGAAGATGTTTCATGCCTCTCACCATAAATAATTCTTAGACACTCTGAGTCTGCACACAACAAGAACATGTTTTCTTCCATATTTCAACTGCAGAGGCATAACTACACAGAGACATCTGAAATGGACAAAAAGCAATTCTGGTCCAGTGTACATATGTGCTCTTTCAAGCCCCCTATTTAAACACAGCAAATGACCACTATCTGCACTTTATATAAAATGCATAACCCCTGCTTCCTTGTGTTACCATGGTAACAGAATCAGGAAGAACGGAATTCTCCTTTGAGTAATAAATTCCCACACATACGACGCCCACATCTGTCTCCAGAATAAAGACCAGGATAACCCAAACGACTACAACTGCTGCATTGTGCGTTATGATCAAAAAAGGCAGCAGCTCAAAAAGTACTATGGATTTTGGGTGTCAGCGGGTGTTGTTTTTCTCGTTGTTTTCTGAAATCGAAAGGGAGGCTCTGGTGGGAGGAAAGTACAGATAGACAACAATGCCTTGGACTACCAACCTGAAGCTGCTGCCGTGGTTTACACTATTGGATGTTAATATCCAGTATAGGATATGTATATAATTCGTTCCGGCATCTTTTTTACGTTTTGAATTATATACAAAAAATACTTTTATTTATAAATTAATTTCACTGTATATAGCCTAAATTATGAAAGAAATGTATGTATATTTTTAGAATAACTAATTTCTACATTAAAGGGATAGTTCACTTTGAAATTCATTTTTGGTATGTTTTAGCTTATCTCAAGGGCATCCAAGATGTAGGTGTCTTTGTTTCCGCAGTAGTTTCAATTTTGATATTTTTAGGTCAAACCGTTCTTGTCTGTCAGTCATATAATGGAGGTCTATAGTCACCACCTCAAAGAGCATGCACAGAGAAGTCCAAATTAAACATGATTTAATGACTCGTCGTAAATGTAAGTACACATTGATGGCCTAAGACACGAAACGAGTGTTTTGTGTGAAAAAACGAAGAGTATTTATATTGTTTTTACCTCTTGTAACCACAGCTACGTCCAAGTGATCTGAGGGTGTGGGCGCTTCGGTCTGCGCAAGCGCCGGAAAGCCCCGGAAGTGATCTCTCGTGCGTGTACGTTACTCATAGTTTACACTGAACAAAGATTGTAGGTAAAACCTGTCTATGGGTAAGACGGATAATTAAAAATTGCACTAATCTGCGCTTATCCGGGATGTTTAAACCGTCGTAAAAGAAAACAAAAACTTCTTCACTTCCGAAGAGATCATTTCTGGCGCTTGCGCAGACCAAAGCGCCCGTGCCCTCAGATCACTTGGTTGGATTACAAGAGGTAAAATGATATAACCGCTCGTTTCGTGTCTTAGGCCATCAATGTGTACTTACGTACGAACGGTTTGACCTAAAAATATTAAAATTGAAACTACTGTGGAAACAAAGACACCTACATCTTGGATGCCCTTGAAGTAAGCTAAAACATATCAAAAATTAATTTCAAAGTGAAATATCGCTTTAAACATAACAATACTATCGCATTCGCGACTCTCCTATGATTAAAGGCGACACATCCGGTTTTCTACCCACCGGAGCCAATTCAAAATGCCGGCTGCGTGAAATCAGCCTATAGGTGACCATGATGGTTATTTGAGTTGAGTTGTTACGTGACAAACCACACAGAAACAAATGGTGGAAAAAAGTGCTGGTGTGAAAATGACTGGAAACAAGGACATAAAACAGCCAGACCAAAACATTTCCTAGCACCTGTCCTTGTACTTGACGTTTTACTTGACTGTAAGCAACAATTACTCTCTGACCTTAAGCAGAGCAAGTACACATCAGACAGGGAGCGGAAACTTCCAAGAAGTCATTTGCAATGCCAAGAACATGATTGCATGCAGAAAGACTACTAATAGTAAATACTTGAAAGCATAACAAAGCTCAGATGCTGGTAGTTTGAGAGGAGAAAAGGGTTCAATGTCTTTGTTGACACAACCGTGCGGCTCTTTTCCAAAAGCTTCTTGCATAGAAATGAGTGTGCAAAGGCTTTTTTTTTAAAAATATTTTATTACTGTTTAAAATTCAGCCCCTGCTTTCCTCAAAATCTGTGCAAAGACAGTGGATTAAAAGCATTCCCGAGAGTATACAGTGCAGCAGACTTGAAAAAAAAAAACTCATTTATCTTTTAAAAGCATGTCTAGACTTTTTACATCATATCATGTTCTGTTGGCCAGTAATCATCAACAGATAAACAAGCATTGTATGCACATGCAAAACCTTTTAGGTACAATTAAAGATGACTTACAGAAAGTGTGGAATAAATCAAACACTGCAGTAGTAAGTAAAATGCCATTTGTGACCCTCATATTTGTGTTATTATATGGATTTTTCTTCAAATATAAAAAATACAGTAATTGAGGATGTCTTTTTGACCTGTTTTCAATGTCTCTCATAACAAACACTGTTACCATCAACTTCATAACAAAATTATGAAATGAATGGATACAATGATTATTAGCCGCTGCCTATAAAAAAAAAATCAATTATTTGTACCAAAAAAAGCATATCTATGCTATGTCCCAACATTTATCCAATATTTCCACATAGTTTGAGATGGCAGCGATTTCCTCAAATCTTGAACATTCACTTTAAAACACCTTTTCAGCATAAAAACAAGTCCCATTCAGCGGAATGACCGAAACTAAAGACAAATAACAGATAAACAAACCTGTGCGCATTACTGAGGGAATCTGTCTTACCAACGTCCAGAGACGCACCGGTTGGTGACACCGACACTTATTAAAGACAGAAATGTGTTTCAAGCTACTCAGAAAGTGTGATATTACACAACAAAAGTCTTGACAAGGAGGTGCTTCATAAGGAAATGTTCATAACTGTCAAAATTGTCCGTTTTGTGCAGTTGTAAGTTGTCGCGTGCTCGAGCGCGCGCGCATGCCTTCAGTACTCCAAGGCAAGCTGTTTGTTTATATACTCCTTATACTTTATAAAACACATGTTGAGCAGTGTTGAGCGTGGTTTGTTGAAGAGTGAATTAAAATTAACTTCCTACTGGGAGAAAACGCGCCACTTTTTGTCATTCCTTCAACACCGCGTCCGTTTCTCTAATATGTTTGCTCGGTTATAAATCAAAGAGAATAGCCAGAACTCCCGTGTGTATAACTATGTGAGATGGATAACTGTTAGATGTAGCGTCTGCACAAAGATGTTTAGCTGTATAATAAAAAAATCCAAAATAACAAAATGAATATATTTCTCACCAGTTTAGTTGAAAGAAGGAGGTCTTCTGCGTTTCTGCAGCGCTATTTTCAGTATGCGGTCCGATTATTCTCTTGATAAATTTACATTGCAGTGCTCTTTGGGTTTGCAAACAACCAAGACTCCGACGGATCTATAAATTTACCGTAATGTCGCACATACACAGTATCGGCTCAGTGCCGTCTACCGTAATACACAGAGCGCAAGTATACACGTGACCGATTGCTCACGGACATCTTTATCTTTAAATCTTTATAGTCTGAAAAGTGATTTGTTACGATTTCATTGCTTAAACAAGATTGTAAAAATAGTGTGGACTTCCAAACAAGGCTGTAACTGTGTCCTTGATTACAGGGAAACATATTGTAAGGATAAAAAACATTGGAAAACATATCGATCAACAAGTGCCTGTACTGGTTGCAGCAGCATTGTTCCCAATTTGAAACACATTCTTGTGCTGTAGATACTGTAAGTCAACAAATACTGTAGCTTGAACTGCTATTTATGGAAGTCCATTTCCACACTAATAGCCTAATGCTATGGTAAATCTCTATTATGAAATGAAAAGTCATAATTATGACATATTAAGTCTGTCATAATTGTGACATACTAAGTAAATTTGACATTACAAGTAACGTAAAGTCTCATTGGGTTCTTGAAAAAGCACTATATAAACAAAATATATTATTTTTATTATTAAAATGATGGCTTAGCCCACTGTCAAAGCCCAATTATGATGACATTCTATAATTTAATTAATTTTGAAATTATGACACAATTCATAATTGTATGATTATGAAAGAAAAAGTCAAAGTTATATGCCATACTAGCTCTTTATTATGACATAAAGGTCATTATTATGAGAATTCATGATATTATGAAGTAATCATTAGGAGATTAAACGATGTCATCATTTAGAATTTAAAATAATTGTATTATTTCATAATCATGATATAAGTCATAATTGTGACATACTAAGACAAAATTGTATGTCATAATTCTATTCTGACAAACAAGTCAAAATTATGACATAGAAAAATATAAATTATGACATAAGTCATAACTATGACATTTTATTATTACATACTAAATCAAAATTATGGTTAAAATCAAAATTGACATAAAATGATGACACACTGTAATTACACTGCCATCTAGGTCATTATTATGAGATAAATCGTTGAACAATTATGACATACTAAGTCATAATTGGCAAAAAAATTATAAACATAAAGGTCATATTTATGATATAATTAAGATTATGATATGATGTTATCATTATGGGATTAAAAAAAATCTAATTGACTTTCATGTCATAATTTCCAATTTTTATCTCATAATTTGGATTTACTATGTAATAATTTTGGAATTATGACTTTTCATAATTGTAAATTTTGGTTTCAGAATTACAATTTAAAAAAGCATGATTGTTTTATACAGTATGTGGTGGAAATGGACTTCCATAGTCAATCATGCAATCAAAGGGTTTTTATCAAAGATGGCGAAGAGGTGAATGTGGTTGTGGTAAAGGAACCGATGATTTCAGGTGTCCTCAGGTGAGGAGCGAGTGCCATAAAGATCTTTTCATCGAAAAATAACCTTGTGCACCTTAAAATACCTCAGTCTGATAGCTTACAATCTATTTGCGATTAAACAAATCTGCACGTGAGAATTGCTTCAGCTGTTGACTCCGTAGACAATCTTCCACACCGGAGTAAAAGCGGAATAGTCTGGAATTAAAGGCAGCCCACATGAAATTCTGAAATAATCTCATGAGACACCAACCCACACACACTTTAAACAGAAATGTCTTGCCAACATAATGTTTAATATTTCAACGTCAGTACACTAAAGAGAGAGAGAGAGAAAAACACTCAGCTCTCAATGTCCTCGTTTTCTCAGGCATGAACTTGAACAAACAATATTATATAAGCATGCCTCTATCATATAACAGTTTGTGAGTGAAATTTTACTTTTACAATGCATGTTTAAGATAGAAAAATAGATATTATGAGTAAAGCATATTTCCTCCAACTATTACAGTCTGACGCCAGGTTTTTACTTTTGAATATGGGAAACAAAGAAGTGTCCCACAGCTCAGTATATAAAAAATGTTTTTTAATACTGTATATTAATCTTTATTGGTTCTGATTCATGTCACATGGTTTCCAGTCTGTGTCGACTCATTACTCAGAGCAATTAAACCGGTTAAGGATCCTTAATGAGAACAGTAATTTGCACATTCTTCTCAAGAGCACAAGGATTGTGTTGAGGGCCATTACATTTAAATGCCTATTGTTTTGTATTGTGAAAAAAGTTCCGGAAGCAATTATGAAGTAATTTATTAGATGCCAAGACGAAGAAAATATTTAATAAGCTTGAGCTGCGCATGCATGAATGTTTGTTGCATTGAGATTCATTCATTATTTTAGTTTGCTATTAAAAATAGTAGCTTATTTACGTGAACTACAGTTCAGTTTCCTTAAAAACAGGCCTAAAACAAATATACTAAACAAATAAATACATCCAGACGCCTAATTAGCAAATTCAAGGCTTTTCACTTCATGTTTAACTTTTGATTTTCGAAATGTCTGTCAGCTGGAAAAAAATCAGTCATTTTATTGTTGGTTTAACATAAAAAATTAAGTAACTTGGCTGCCTTAAAATTTTAAGTTCATTCAAATAGAAAAATTGAGTTAATACAATGAAGGAGATTGATTTAATCATCAGAAACTCATCAGAAACTTATCTGAACTGCATAAATTATTTAAGTTGATTTGACAAAAGAAAAAATGTTGTCATTACAAATCATGAAAATATTTGTTTTTTTACAGTGTATGATTTCAAGACAATTCCACATACATTTTAGGAAAAAAAAGAAAAAAGGCATTAGAAATTAAATCAATAGTTCGGATAATGAGGACAAATGTTAAATGTGTTGATAGGCGCATTACAAATACTGAGTGGAAATAAACAACCCTCAACATCTTTCAATCTCTCTAAGGATAGAGGCATTTCTAAATGTCACGTTCAGGCTTTTGAGAATAAATGATATGAAAATCAATGCATTCTCAGCTCTTCATCACATCTGATTCTCTGTGTAGCTGCTCCGATGGTTTTTTCAAGAGCACTGCATTGCACCAATGAAATCTGAACTGCTTATTCTAGCTTGCACTGCCATGTATTCATTCACAACGTTATATCAAACGCAGTTCCTGTTATTCTGTGCAGAAAATAAACTGGGGGTAAGTACATTTGATGACCTGTGAGTTGAGTCTCACATCTATATAGCTAAAGATCTGCTGTGCATGAAAACATAATTGCTCTCGTTTACGTAACGAACGTAAAACGGGCCATTTCGACACAAAACTTTTCATCAATTTAACATTTATCAATATGGATGTGAATGGTGGTTGTATGATCAAGTCTCACGTCAGGTTTCAACTTGTGTGTGCCACATATTCATCATTTAAAAATGTGTTGCCAGTGGTAAAATATTCGATTGACAGTGTGCCATCTATAATCAAGCATTTTCTTATATTAAAGTATTTACAGGTGTTTTTGGTGTCAGTTTCTCTTTCATGAGATGACTTCCTCTTCTTGGCCAAGTAACAGTTCACCATGGCTGCATCTGAAAACTGAAAAAGCTGCTTTCGGAGGATGCATTGCACGCCAAAGTCGGAAGGCATCAAGGGACATCCGAATTCAATGTTAGCTTGCTGAGTCCTGAGATACCTTCATCTGATCTATTTTTGAAGGCAGCATAGATATATCCTTCGCTGCCTTTGATATCCCACAATCCTGTGCTTTCCATTCTGGGACTACTAAAGGGTTAGTTCACCCAAAAATGAAAATTCTGTCAGTATTTGCTCACCCTCATGTTGTTCCAAACCTCTATGTGTTTATTTGTTCTGCTATACACAAAGGAAGATATTTGGAAGAATGTTTTAATCAAGCAGATCTCATTCCCCATTGACTACCCATGTATTTTTTCCTACTATGGTAGTCAATGGGGAATGAGATCTGTTTGATTAAAACATTCTTCCAAATATCTTCCTTTGTGTTCAGCAGAACAAATAAACACATAGAGGTTTGGAACAACATGAGGGTGAGCAAATACTGACAGAATTTTCATTTTTGGGTGAACTTACCCTTTAAGCTAAAAAAAGAAAGATGGCATCTGAAAGTTGCAGTTGGTGGTTAGTTTGTGTGTAAATGTACGTTTTTGGCCAACGTTTTCCACTTTTGATGTCATTTACCATTGTAGTATTTAAATATTAATTTAGTCAATACCAAAGCTCTCTCTATTTTGTTGTAGATCATTAAAACGTTACGCTGCCTCAGATGAGCAAATTTCGTGAGGTACAGTCGTGCATACAGTAAACGCTGCCTGCGGAGTCATTGACTGATAGGGAAGCAACTCGAGGTCTAGTCTACGCCGTCTCCACACTGGCAGTTGAAATCCTCTCCGATATGGCTCCGAAACGACCGGAAGTCATTCATTTCCTATGGAGATTTGCAGACCGCATGCGAAAGTGTCCGAAACGGCTCCGACCGGGTGCGGTGCGAAGAAAATCACTGGATGCAAGTGAATGAGAGAAAATAATTAAAATAATTATCAGTACCGCTGGATTTGCACTCGTTTCTACATTGGATATGAGGCCCAATGATTCAACAGCTCTAACAAGACTGACTGTCTACTACCTACACACATCTCTATGGATTACCCATAAATCTGAGCTCAGAGAAGCCTGTTAGATCAATCAGAACATGTCAAGACGGTGCTTTGTTCACTTTGCTGTTCTGTTGTCGAGGATAGTATTGATTTAAGAGCAGTCATTAGTGTGGTGGGTGTTCCTAAACATTGATTAAACCAGAAATAGTCAGTGAGTGTCCTATGTAAAGCGAATGGCTCAAAAACGTAGTCATTTTAGTCCAAAATGGACCCTCCTGCTGATCAAATGAATGGCACCTGTTGACCCCATTTCAGTTCTCCACTCATCTAGAACAGACTGATCAAATTCAATATTAAACTGACCTGTGATGAGCTAATGCTAGCTTTGAGTTTGGTCTTTGTAATTAGCGGGAAAATAACATAATTACAGGAGCTTGTCATACATTACATGACTTTCAGTGTATGCATAACAT